GAATGCATATCTTTTATTAAATCATTCGAAAACTGGGTTTTGATGACCATGTCGTCTACATAGCACTCTACTTTTTTGCCGATCAATGGCTCGAACAATCGGTTTACAAGTTTTTGAAATGTAGCCCCAGCATTTTTCAGCCCAAAAGGCATGACCTTGTAGCAATACAGGCCTAGTTCGGTTATGAAGGCCGTTTTTTCCTCATCGGCAGGGTCCATTCTGATCTGATTGTAGCCCGAGTAAGCATCCAAGAAACTTAGCAACTCATGCCCTGAGGTCGCGTCCACCAAACGGTCTATCTTGGGAAGTGGGAAGCAGTCATTCGGGCAAGCTCGATTCATGTCGGTATAATCGATGCACATGCGCCATTTACCGTTGGCCTTTTTTACCAGAACGGGGTTGGCTACCCAGCTCGGGTAATGGACCTCCCTGATGAAATCGGCTGCGAGGAGCTTCCCAACCTCCTCGTCGACTGCTCTTCAACGCTCTAGGGCTAGGTTGCGTTTCTTCTGTCTAACGGGCCTAACTACAAGATCAATGTTCAGTTTGTGAGTAATGACTCCGGGGTCTATGTCGGGCATCTCTGCCGCGGACCATGCAAAAACATCTAAATTTTTAAGTAAAAAGCTTACCAGCTGAGATCGTAGAGGCTCCTTGATTGAAGCGCCGATTTGGAGAGTCCGAGCTGGATCGTCTGCCGAAGTAGGTACAACGACCGTCTCTTCTATGGGCGTAGCTCGCTCTTCATGCTGCTCCGCAGGTCACTCCAACTCGAGGTCGTCGGCCACCTTGGCTTTCCCTTTCAGGGCGGCGACGTAGCATTTGCGAGACTCGAGCCGGTCGCCCTGCGCTACCCCTACTCCGAATTCCGTTGGGAACTTCATAGCCAAGTAATAGGTGGACACCACTGCGCATAAAGCGTGGGTGATTGGCCGACCTATTATGGCATTGTACGGGGAGGGAGTTGCGACCACTAGAAAAGGGTGGTCGAATCTCACAATACTAAGCCATGTGCCAACCTCCACGGGTACTGTAACTCTCCCCAGGGGCCTGACTTCCTCTCCGCTGAAGCCCACCAAGGGAGTGTTTGCGGGTTTGAGATCACTTTCCCAAAGCTGAAGTTTGTCAAATGCGGCCTTGAAGAGTATATCCGTCGAACTGCCGGAGTCGACGAGGACGCACCTTACCTCGAAATCATTGATTCTCATCTTTACAACGAGCGCGTCATCATGGGGTACTGGACTCCGCGCATGTCATCTTCGGTGAAGAAAATCGGTTCCTCTATCCTTGGCCGCTCCGGGGGATTCCGCTCTTCTCTTTCGATCTCGCGAGCCGAGGTCTTTGCTACAGTTGAGGTGCAGCCCGCGATGATTGATTCATCGGTGATCATTTGGATTGTTCCCCGAACCAGCCTCTCTTCGGGTGGCTGCCTCTGCGGCTGCTCATTTTGCCTGTTGCTGGATTTGGGAGCGTCTCTACCTTGCTCTCCCTGCCATCCTGTTTTATTATATCACTTTGTACAAAATTTCTCAAATACCCGCAACGGATGAGTTCTTCTATCTCATCGTGGAAGTTTTTACAATTTTCGGTGCTATGACCGTGATCTCTACGAAAATGGCAATACAAATTTTTATTTCTAGTATTCGGGTCTCCTCTCATTCGAGGTGGCCACTTCACATAAGACGCATCCTTGATCGCCATGAGGATTTCTGCTCGCTTCGCGTTCAAAGGCGTCTTTCCTCCCCGAGCTGGTTCTTTCTTCCTCTTATTGTCCCCATTAGTTGAGGTCTCACCTTCTCTTTTCCTCTTCTCCGGTGGGTTCTCGTTCTTCTGCTTCATCTCCTCCTCTGTTCCGATGAATGGTCGACGAGCTTGAGGAACTCGGTTACATCCTTGGGCTTGTTGGCAACCACGTGCCACTTGAACTCTTTGTGCATTATGCCTCTTTTGGCTGTTGTGAGCCTCACTACAGGGTCTAGATCAGGTATCTGCAGACATGCATCATTGAATCTCTTGATGTAACTGCGGATAGATTCCCCCTCCCTCTGGACTATGCTGAAAAGGCTTTCTTGGGACCTCAGACACCTCTTGCTGGTGATGAAGTGTGAGGTGAAGATCTGCACGAACTGCGCCCATCTCTTGATTGTCCCGGGCGCGAGGTTTCTATACCATGTGCGAGCTACCCCCTTAAACGTAGTAGAGAAAGCTACACACATGCAATACTCACCTGCCCCGGCTAAGTGCATCTGTGACTGAAAAGAATCTACATGATCATTCGCACGAATGATCCATCATACTTGTCCAGGGGAGGTACCTTGAAATCTTTTGGCATTGGGACGGCCAGGAGTTCAGGAGACAGGGGAGATGGCACAGAGAGGAGTGGAGTGGCTTTCACTGCTCCCGAGCTCGCTTCTTCCTTTCCTTTGAGGAGTTCGGGCAAGTTCTGGGTTGTAGCTCGGCGATCTCTGCGGCGTCTCCGTTGCTTCTTTGTTGGCTCTGCATTGGTGCTGTTGGCCTCTGTGTTGTCCGGCACAGTTCTCGCGGGGAGTGGCCCAGACTGTTGACGATGGTTGTGGATTGAGGGACCTTGTCTAGAGTCCGCAATCAGGACCTCAAACCGGTTTTCTACGAGTGAGATCTCAAACTCTGAAAGCCGAGGTGATGCGGGTCTGTTAGGCTGAGAATCTCTCGACCTGACCATGCGCGGTGAGGTGGGAGTAACTGGTTTCTCCCTCCTGCTGCGAGACAAGACTTGGCTCCTAGGAGGATTCTGGGTCTGGGAGGTCTCTCCTTGGTGAGAGGGGCGTTCGCTCCGACGGCGAAGCTTAGCTTGCTGTGTGGCCGGATGCCGAGGTGGAACCGACAGCTGGTTCTGAGGCAGTAGTGGGAACTGCTGTTGGTACTGCTGTTGATAAACATGGTGCAGTGCTTGTTGCTGATACAGTTGGAGCAAATGGACTTGCTGCATTTGAGCTTGTATAGATCGCATGCAGTGCATCAGGTCTTCGAGTTGGTTCTGTCCGACTATATTCTTATTGGTTTGAATTGGAACTAAATCAAATTTCCAATAATTTGATCATGAGGCCAAACCCTTGTCCAATTTGAAACCGATTAGAATTGAAGTCGGCATAAAATCACTTTTATGAAAGTACTTTTACAAAAGCACTTTTATAAAAGTAATTTTATGAAAAGTGCTTTTACGAAAGCACTTTTACAAAAATACTTTTATGAAAGCACTTTCACAAAAGTACTTTTATGAAAGCACTTTTACAGAAGAAGTTTTATAAAAAGCACTTCTATAAAAGTACTTTTACATGAAAACACTTTTACAAAAGAACTTTTACGGAAGTACTTTTGTGGAAGTACTTTTATGAAAGCACTTTTGCGAAAGTACGTTTATAAAATAACTTCTACAAAAGTACTTCTACAAAAGCACTTTTATGAAAGTACTTTTATAAAAGCACTTCTATGAAAATACTTTTATAAAAGCACTTCTATGAAAGTACTTTTACAAAAGTACTTTTATGAAAATACTTTCATTAAAGTGCTTTTTCAATGCCAAAAGGGTATATTTTTGTAATTTTCAGATTTTCTTCATTTTAATATATTTTTGTAATTTTTATATATTCTATTTTTTTTATATAATTTTTGATATGTCATTTAGTTTGGATTGGATCCAATCTAGTCCATTTACATTTTAATGGATTGGATTGGATTTGGTTTGTATTGGATTTGGACTGGATTGGGTCCAGTCTGTTTGTAAGTGGACTCACATTGGATTGGATCGGGTTGGACCAAATCCAATCCAATTGACACCTCTAAGCCCAACAGCTGAGATAATCACTTGGCATCCCTCTAGGCTAGAAAAGGAAGCGTGGGATCAAACCTGCTGATCTGTGCTAGTGGACCTCACGTTCTACTTGCTCCGTCCCTGTTAAGGGTGTTCATGGACTGGTTCAGTTTTGTTTGGAGAAGATTTCAAACCAAATTAGTAAATTGCAGTTTGAAATTAAATTTCCAGAACAAACCATTTTATTATGGTTTGGTGCGATTTCTAATATGATTTGTTGACTTTGGGCCATTCTATGACTTTATTGGGCTTAACCCAATTAAAATGCCAAATAACACCCCTAAAAGTTAAGTTAAAATTTTTATTTTATTATTCTTTTAAAGTAAAAGAGTTTATTATATGTTTATACTTTTATACATTTGGAATATTATATATTTATATAATTATATGTGGTATATATTTTTTTGCCAATACTATATATTCTACATACATAAACCTATATTAATTTGATTTGCAAAATCCAATAAATCGAATCAAATTACAAATTTAATTTGGTTTGGTTCAGTTTTACGGTTTGAACCGTATAATAAATACCCTTAGTCCCTATCTTTAGCACCTAAAAGAGCAATTTCTATGATACTCGAAAAACTTTAACCAATCAGAAACCCACGAGAAGGGGACTCTCGAGTTGACCTGTTCTATCCTCTCGTCGGACAGAAGCTACCTCACCAAAGCAAATGTTCATCTAATCCATCAGGATATAAAGAAAAAGGACTAGAAGGTAAGTACAGATACATTGTTTATAGAACCAGCTGGGTCCCTCAAATAAAAAAGTGAAGGATCTATGCGCTGGACAGACTGTCTTATTAAATAAATCAGTTTGAACTTAGGTTTGGGCTCTCAGAGACATTGAAAGTATATCAATCTATTCACATTTCAATAAGTGATCTGTTGCAAGTTGAAGAGGCTAGAAGGGCCTTGGCTAGTTCAAATAGGACATGGGTTGAAGTAGTAAGAAATGATTTAGGGTATGTTTGATGGTTAAGTGGTTTGAGAACTTATTTTTAAGTACTTATTTGAATAAGTACTTAAAAATGGAAATAATTATTGGGTAAGCACTTCAAAGAAAGAAAGAATTGCAGAAAGGCAAACTATCAATATACAAAGTTATTCAGATGAAATCAAATGGAAATAATTAAACTGAGCATACCTTATGGACCCATCATTATCAAGGTCTGCAGCCACCAGGTCACCAAGAGTAATCTTCTTCTGAAGAACCCATTTGGCAATCTTGCGGTTTCTCTTTTCTATCCTGAGCTCTGTGAGGTACAAGAAAGCTCTGGCTACAGCTAATGTGCTTACCAATAGCCAAATGATGGCAAAGCACCTACCCTTTAGAGTCTTGAATGAGTAGTCTCCATATCCTACTGTGGTCACAGAAGTCACAGACAAATAGAAGCTGTCTGTCCAATCCAATCCCTCCAGAACATGCACCATGATTGTCCCTATGGCAATGCAGCCAAACACAGCAAACAAAGCCAAAGCCACCTTCATCCTGATCCTCATTCTTCCCTTCACAGTGTCAATGATGTATGTCTGGAACACTGTATTCAGTCTGTTTTCATCCACTGCACTTAATAGCACTGTCTCTTGTCGATCAAGCACGTAGACCACCAGACCATTGAGCAAGATATCGATGAACCCAAAACCAACAAGGATGAATGCACAGGTGAAGAGCTTGGTGAAGGTGGTACCAGGCACAATGTCGCCATATCCTATGGTGCAGAGAGTGACCACAGTGAAATACAGAGCATCTACTAGGCTGAACGTTGAGTGGCCTGTGAAACTTCCACTTGTCACCATAAAAATGGCAACTCCGGCAGCTATATACAGAACCACTCCGATGAAGGCTAGGCGAACGATTGAAGGGGTTGATCGTGAAGAAGGGCATTGGTCAATGGAGGGAGCACCTCTTGTCTCTGTAAACAGGGATGGGGCAGAATGAGAGTGACGTCTGAGTTCTCTTCTTTTGCTCAAGTTGGCTAAGAGATTGACAACGGAAGAACTGTTGGCTGCTGCCCGTGTGATCTGTGGTGAGAGAATGGGAATTATGGCTTCTGTGTTGATAATATGGGCAGCCGATTGACGCAAAGGTGAACCCAGATCAAGGAAACATGAGGAGGTGAAATCCTTCTTCAGGTTCAGGGTTGATTTGCCTTTGCCAGAGTCATCTGCTAATGCTTTGTTGGAGAGCAGAAGCTCATCCATGGTGAATATATATGTTTGTTAAACAGCATGAATCATCAGAATTCGACCTCCCCAAAACTTTGGTGGGAGATGGGGAGGTTTCCCTTTCTCTCTTCTCTTCTCTTTTCTTCTTCTTCATCATCGTTCTTTTCCCTTTTTGCTGGTAAGTGATCAGTCGGTAGCAACCCAACTACAAGTCAATCTGCAAAGCAGAAAACAATTGGGAAGCTTCATGAGAGGCTCTTATTCATTTCTGTGGTAGCTGTAGCAACTAATTAACCGTCATTCTTTGTTGTTGTTGTGGGCTGGTTGGTTTAGGCGTTTGTCCAATACTTTCTTGTCGCTGGTCAAACCCAGAAACGCTTGATATGGACAGTCGCTGATGAAAACATTTCTCACAGAAAAGATATTGGCGGAAGAGTGAAGATATGAATTTTTGGATAAGATTACGCCTAGCGGATAACGAAGACATATCGGACTTTTGCTCAATCAAGTGGTGCTATTGAAAGCAATCTTCCATTATTGATCCAAACGACACAATCAAAGTGGAAACAAAGGAGCACAATCCACGTGTTTGTGAAAAACCATTTATAATTCAGTATGATATGGAAAAATTATGATATCTGAAAAATAACCGATCAATAAACTGAAATCTTAAAAGTAGTAGCGAATAAGGTGTTATTTATCAAAATTCATGGGTGGATTTTGATTGATCAAAACTTTTTTCATACCATATCTTTCCGACATCATAGATTTTCTCAAATAAAAAATTTATGAGAGATTCAATAATTGACATACAAAGTGGTCTTCTGTTTGGGCATCATCTTGTAGTGGGCCTGCAATTGAACCAATCAAAGTCCTATGACGGTACATGGTGCTTGCTTGGTTCTTGAATTTTTTTATTCTTGTAATGAAAGAGGAAAGAGCTCCATAAATCCTTGCATATGGTGCAGCTTAACCCCTCCACATCTCCCTTGCCATTTCTCTCGTGTCCTTGATTAGTGGGTCGATCTTCTATGGAATGGTTATACGGTACCCTATCTTGATTCTGTCTATTGAGAAGCTTAGGTTATTAATCAGCCATTCAATTGGTAAACAGTGGAGGCATTCCACAGAATTGCAGATTTTGGACTAGCTCTGCAGCTAGAGCGAAGTCAATAATTCTGTATAGAGTAATGAAAGCTACTTATCGAAAGCACACATTTTGGCCACACACACATGCACGTCAGGTACCGTAGTCTTTTTCATGTGCTTCGACTATCTATTCTTTGCAACCCATTTGCTACTTTTGTCGAATTGTAATTTTCTAATGTGGTTCAAAAATCTCATTTCATTCAGGGCATGAAACCATCCCTTGCTACTTTAGTTCTTTTGGTGAAAGTTTTCTAAAAGTTCAAGATATGGACCTCACCACAGAACAAATCCTCGACAGAGTATAGTAACTCTAGAAGACGCATTTTTAAAATGGCTAGTTTTGGTTGATGTGTTTGTTCAAGATCAATTAGGTTTTAAGAGAGAATTTCAAGAAAAAGAAAATAGAGAAAATTTAGTGTGGTATTTTGGTAATTTAATGGCTTCTGTCATCTGACTTAATGGCCAAGGGGTATTTGTCACAATGTAAAAGTTTAGGGGGNGGGGGGGTCTGCGCAAATTAAAGTCTAAGAATCTTTGTCACTGACCCTATAGTAAGGAGGTCTTTGTAATTTACCCGATTATTAATAGTGATTTTTGTGTATGGAAATCAAAAAGAGAAATCATTGAATTTGCTGATTTCTCTGAGAAATGACTTTGAACCCCCCTCAAAAAAAAAACCTAATGCCTATACAATGAAAATCCACTCACTGAAACCCACGGTAAAATCAAAATACCATCGCAACCCCCTGCTACTTGGTTCCAAAATGAAACTTTTTTACACATCCTAACTTAAAAAATTTTCATACATCCAAACTTAAAAAATAATTTATTGAATGACAAAATTAATCATAATTAGTTCTCTAAGAACATGCCAAACGCAGCCTTAATTAGCCAAGACTTACCATCAAAGTTCATCGTATTGAAACCTAAAGGATAGGGGCAGTAACTCTAGAAAGCAATGTCTACAAAGCCACCAGGGCATATTTGCTCTTTGGTAGTTTGTTGGTGATTTTGGTAGCTGAGGCAATCTCATGCGTCAGAGATAGAGTTTGTTTGCCAGGAGAACATAGTTACTGAACCAGAATAAGTCATGGCCAGTACAGCACGTTAATGATAAATATTTGACACAGGTTTTTACTCTTAACTCAGTGTTGGATGAACAATCTGGTAGCAAAAGAAAGACACCCAATTGCCAGCAGACGTAATAGCAGCAGAAGACTATCTTGAAATGTGAGGCCAGCATAATCACATGGACCAAGTGTATTGAAAATATATACTCATTTAAGAGCTTTCTGTCATTAAATACCAAGTACAGATTAAAACTGGAGCTAATCGTCTTCCTCAAGAACACTCCTACGCCTCTGGATCTGAAGAATCAGAAATAAGAGATATGGGAAGTGGAAAAATCAATATTCACGTCAAATATAAGCACAGGGAAGAGCAAGTATACGACGTACTGTCACTTTAGTTTGTTTTGTTGTTTGATTGTTAATCTGTTCCAGCAATGATATAAGCCTCTCTTTAGACACCTGAAAATATAAAACCATTTAAAGGCATAAACCTATGATGGATGAAACACCTTTTTCCTGCACATCAACATGATAGAAATTTCAGGGTCTATTGCACAAGTTGGGCATGTAAGGACATGACTATCCTTATTTACGCCTAAAAATGTGCAGAAACTTTTTGGCATACACAAACAATACTTGTAAATAGAGATGAACCTGCACCTCTTTCTGTGTAGACTTTGGACGGACTGAATATATGCCTTCATGGGTCAAATTGTGCGAGCATCCAGGCCAATACAAGTATGCTATGGATGTACAGACATTTGGGGTGTCATAGATCACCATTAATATGTTGAACAAAAATGTTTTCCCTCTGCACAAGGGTGGCACTATATGCAAAGATAAGGACCATGGAAGCAACCTCTTTCTTTGCTTTGTCATACTCATTTCTAGGAACATCCAGGGCTCCTTGCACTTTTTCAACAGGAGTATGTCAATTGGAAACTATGAGGCTCTTCTTGTTTGGCGTTCAATTGATTTTGGCTTTTGGCTCTGAGGGCTCTTTTGCAAAGTGTGGTCCCATTTACTAGATTGTAAAGGCAATGGAATGAAAAAAAAAATGGAAGAATATTTAATGGTGCACAAATGATCCAAAAAAAATGTGACAATGTATTTGGCCTCCCAACAATTTTGCACATATCTTTCTAGATATGGATGTATTGGGCTTTAATTTTGAAAGAAATCAAGGATATTATAATTTTATAAGGATGAGTGGGGAAGAATAGAGATGCTACACCTTGTAGAATAGTACTTTCTGATTTTTCCCCTCTTTGAATAGGCTTATTTTTTGCTCTCTTTGAATTTTTTATCCTCTGTTATCTAACCCCAATCCCAACCCCAAAGAAAAAGGAAGAAATAAAGAAAAGCGTAAAATTGGCATCCTTGCAAACAACTTTTAGATAGATTAGATGCAGCAATAGGTAAATCCCAGCCCAAAGAAAAAAAAAAGCATTAAACCAGCATCCTTGAGAAAAACTTTGGGATAGATTAGATACACCAATTAGGTGTGCATCGAAGTAAAGAAAATACAAAGGCATGTTCTTTCTTACCTTCTCAACAATCTGACCCATTTGAGCAGCTCTCAGTAGAACATCCTCAACTCCTCGTGCCTTCTCAGGCTTCACCAAAGCAATCCGAGCAACTGTTAGTGGTAAGATCATAAAAGTGAGAATATAAGCATGGAAGAGTGTAAGGTGGATTAACAGCTTCTTAAAGTGTAAGTAAATTAGTTTCTTTTCTTGTGCAGAGCCAAGTATGACCATTTAAAATTTCAAACATGGCATATAGAACAACAATAAATCAGCATTCTTTTTGTGTTTACCATCTGCAGTATTTGATAGGCCATAAAAACATATTTCATCTATAAGCAGATTCAAGCATACGATGAGTGTAACCATTCATATTCTAAATCTTACAACATCCCCCTCTACTATGGTTTTCTTTCCAATCTTGATGACATTAGGCTTTGCCACTTAAAATTAAAGAGTGCCAATCTTTCAACATGTTAAAAATGAAATCAATATCCAAACCCTTGATTTCTGTGGGGAAAGACATGAGACAAATATGGAGTTCCCAACTAGCATCAGCAGTCATACAGAAATAACTTTGTACAATTGCAAGAATGATATAACTCAACCAGATTGATATATTACTTACAGAACCAACATAAGTAAAAGGCATGACAACAATAAAGAGCAATTGCAAGACAGGATTCTTGTACACTTGTAGCCAACCCAAATGGTTTGGATCAAGGCTTTTTTGAGTTGAATTGAGATACTAACAAGGAGACAAAGAACTATACTGTTATAAATGGCATCTGAAATTGTTAGACAGTTTATGCCCTTAGCTCCAATCAGATTGATGTACAATGAGTTTTATGCATTAATAATATCAGTACAACCAATGGGTGTTTGTGAAAAGCATTGAACCTGGACCTTGGAGAGATGAGCAAAACTGGAAAGTTGCACTTAACCCCAAACTTGATAATGATATTGCACTAGGTCTTGGACTGAGCTTCTTTTGATATGCAAACTAGTGAAATCCTCTTAGGGTCAAATACCTAGGTATGTTGGAGCATTTTAGGATATTATCTGAATGGGCGATCATTGTAATAGGATCAGTCCCTTAGTCAAACAAAGTAAATATCAAGGTTTACACTCTCTTTGATGGAAATGTAAAACTGCCGATAGTGGATTTCAACTATACTTGAAATCTTTTTGCAAAATGTATTTATACTTATGTTATTTTCTAAAAAATGGTCTGCCAAAGGTTTTAATCCCGGGATCCATCTGAGTAGAGGGTGTGGCACTGCATTTTGTAGTTAGGGAAGAGGCCCTTCCCTATGAGCAGTGTTTTGATTATTTAGGGCTGAGAGGTTAGGGGCGAGAGGCCACTACAGGGCTGAAAATTGATGGGCTTTATCTCATATCAATCCATCATCCTTGGGCTTCATAGGGTGACTGAAACCAAAGATCACTTAGTTAAGTGTTGGGCCTAGACTGAGTCCAATTCGATTGGCTCAGGGGTTCATTACCTCTGTGCGGAAAATTCGACCTGTCTCTTCCCAAACATGGTTTGAACCTAGAGATGTAATGTGGGTCGGGCCGATGGCAAGCCGACACAATCCAGCATGATAGGGGTTGTGCTTGGCACGACATGGTTACTACAGTACCATGTTGTGCCAAATCTAGGCCGTGTCGAGCCTAGGCTATAAAGGGGACTGAACCTCCTAGACATGCCTGACCAAACAGCCCAACACGACATGGCACATGTGTAGCCTACAAGAATATAGTCGTTGGAGGGGGCCCAATTGATATATTTGCTTTTTGAGGGGGTATTTCAACTAAAATACCCCCCCCCCACCAACAGCTATAAACCGCCACTAGGAGTATTTTTGTATTTTGGATCATAGGGGGCAAAAAATGACTTAAATGCCCCCTAAGGCCCTAACAACTATATTACAACTAGGTTAGGCCCTTTAGGGGGTTTTTAAGTTAAATAACATATAACCCTAAAAATAACCAAAATACCCCTCCCAACAACAATAAACAACTAGTTTTGGAGGTATTTTAGTCAAATTAATCACCCCAATTCCTATAAATACCCTACCTCCCTCATTCTCACCACAACTCTCATACTCTCCTACATACTCTCATACTCTATTACTCTCTACAATGGCCGGCTCTTCCCAAAATCCTTTTCCTTTTCTTGATGAAGCCCAATTCAGTAATATCAGGTCCCACACTGGTAACAGAAGGAGCAAAGTCTGGACTATGTTCGAGATTATGGAAATCCCTAGAAAGGAAAGAAGAGCAGTTTGCAAAAAAAATGCATACATGATTTCAACTATCATAGAAGTGTTGGCATTGGCCATTTGTTTAGACACATGGCATCTCACCTAGAACAGGGAAGAGGAGAGCAGCTTGAATGATCAACTCCATTGTATTATTTTTTTCAGTGTATTTTTTATTTTTTTTTTGTACACATTAGATTTGAAATGACAATTTTTTTTCCAACTATTGTCTATTACCATTCATGCTAATTTTTTCTATTGTATGTTTTTTTTATTTCTTTTCTAATTTTTCTTAGTTTAGGAAAAGACAAGAAGTGAAAAACTAGAAAAGAAATAATCAAATAAAGTAGGCAGCCTAACCTGCCATGGCCTGGTTCCTCATGTCCGGCCCGACACAGCTGGGAACAAGGCCACGGGCTGTGCTAGGCCTGACCTGGGAGGGGGGGCCGTGCTTGGGGGCCAAGGCCTGAGGCCCAACATGAATCACTAAACGAAATGGGCCTTAGCCTATTACTAATGACTAGTTAAATTAGTCACATGATAACTTAAGTGGAAATGGCATCAAGAGGTTCAACAAGTGGCAATGGCATCAAGAGGTTCAACAAGTGGCAATGGCATTTGGAGGTATGATTATTTAATTAATTTTATTACCAATTGGTTCGACCATGTGTTGATGGAAAGACCTCCTCATTCAGGTATAATTTACCTAGTTATATTGGGTTTTTATTTTGTGCCTATTAGATCGAAATTCCTTAATGGCCATGTGTTGCTAAAAGGCTTGATACCTTTTTTTTTCCTTTTGCATGGGGTGGGTTTCCCTCCTCTAATGGCTTAAGCTGTTCTGCATCCTTATTTTGTTTGTCCAGCATTTCATGTGAAATTTGGTAGTTTCTAACTAACCTTTAGCATTGGAAGAAGTTTTTTTTTTTTTTGATCAGCAACCTTTAACATTGGAAAAGGTTGAACATTATGCAAGTAGAATGTAGTTAAGTGACACAAAAATAACAAGTGGGCTAGTACACGAGGTCATTTTAATTTACCATAAAATAAAATGCTCAAGTTCACAAGAACAGTTATCATATTATATGCAGATTTCAACTTATGCCTTTCTCGTGCTTCAGATGACAAAATCTGACTAAGCATCATTTGCCTCCTTTCATCTGCTTCCCTGAAGTATAATAGTTGAACAATTCAGTTTGATAGTCCTATAGCAACCACACCAAAAAGACATGACATAGTGCTATGAATATTTGTATAGAAAAAACAACCTTTTCGCCTCTTCCTGTGCTTTCTGCTGCTCTGAGTTATGCTGATTACCCTGCTTGCAAAGGTATTAAGTTAGCAAAATGATTATAGTCTGACGTTGAAGTCAACTGAATCATGTTGACGCAACATAATCCCAAAATAGTAAATAGTCTAAAGACAATATTACTTACAATGCCACGTTGTGCCATTAATTCTTGCATTCTTCTTTGCCTGATAGCTTCCAATTCAGGATCAGCCTAGGTAGATAGAAGTTGCAAGTGATGTACAATAAATTTATAAAATCACCGACATTTCTACAAGGTTCAAAGTATCAATACATGTGATACGCAAAGTTGTGTATCACGTTCCAAAGGGGCAATACTCTTCAATTTTAAATGCTTTAAGTTTTAAGAATTGAGACAGGAGATCTCTAGGAAAGGTACCCTTCAAAAGTGACCACATGTCCTAAGTCCTTATTTTTAGTGTATCAATGGGTTCAAAAACTGATAAGTATCGTACAATATGCACCCACACTTTGAACCTTGCACTTCTATGCCAAAATGTTCAGATTTAACACTAAAATATAATTGCACAAAAACAATGCCAATAAAGCCTATTAATAACAAGATTTGCAAACAACCACCCTTAAGGAAATTAAACAATACCAAACATCAATTTAATTAAGAAACATAAGTTCTTTCCTAAACATCAAAGCAGCACAATTGTGGATAGAACGATAAGTAATATCCCTCTCATCCTATTCTCCTTACATCGTATCCTCGACCACAATTATGAATTATGGCACCCAATTGACCAAAAAGTTTAAACTAAAGAACTGGCTAAAGACATTAAATTTTCATCATGTTTCTTCAATTACCAAAATAAGCAATGGATACAAATATGAAAAACCATAGTGTAAGCGGCCTTTTTCCAAAAACAGAGCCTCACTCCTTATCAAAACGGTCAATTTGCATTGTCGGGTCGACGGAGATTCAAATGTTCTATACTTTTATATTGGTTCAATAGCTAAGCAACCAATCCACGAAATCGAACACATACCATCACACCATCACAAGAAGCATAAAACGCACTAACTCAACCAAACTATTAACAACAATCAAGTTGATTAAAACCACCCCAAATAATCAAACTTATATTTAATGGGAAAAACCCTCAAGATCAAAATCAAACTAGGAAAAGTCCTCTCTAAGAAAAAAAAAAACCAAAAACGCGTTCTTCGAATGGACCAAAAACAACTAACTGTAAACAATTTTGGCACTAATAGAGAAGAAAAAACAGAAGGGCAAGAAGCAAAACGAAAACGTGAAGCACTGGTTGTGAGATGGCTCTGCTTCTACACATACCATTGCTTTTCTTTCTCTCCTCTGGAAGAAGCAGCGAAACCAACCCTGGAGGCCTGGACCTCATTGCTCAGCAACAGCGTTGATTGAAGTTATGCGGTCTCCAAAAGGTCCGCATTTATACGGTAGCTCAATTACAGCGATCCGATCCGAATAAGAACCCGAGAGATCCAAATTGATCGACTTCGATTTAGCTGCAATTGATGGCTGTGTTAGAGGTTGTTTAACCAATAATAACTCCCCACGTCATATATACACGTGAACAGAAGCGAAGCTGCACACACATTTGATGATAGACAGTTGAGTAAAGTATTACTGCCTGCACCAAAAATAGATTATGAGAAAAGATTCCAATCCAACGCCCCCCAATCCCCCATCTCCCAGCTCCCCTGTCTGAGTGTAAATACTCAGTGCAGACTGCAGTAGAGCTCAGAGCTCGCTCTCTCTCTCTCTCTCTGTATAATGGAGCTCATGGACTGACTGATGACTTTTCTATTTCTCTACATATCGATCGCTCTCCGGTCGCAAAGAAGAGCCATGACAGTTGCATCTTCTTCTGGTAAGTTTTCTTTTTTAAGCTTTTAGCTTCGTTAGTTGTATAAGTTGGCGTTGGGTTTTCTTCTTTTCTTCTTTTTTTAACTTACAAGATCTGCCATTTGCATTGGAACTTGAGATCTGCGAGCTGAAGTCCTTTGATCTATGATTTTAACTGAAATCTAATAATGTGAGATCTTAGAACCTTACTATCCTAGTATGAACTCACTTGAGTCAATGATTCTGATATATTTTAATGTTACTGAGAGATTGGATTTCTGCTATAAAATATATCTACGTGAGTGATTAGTTTATTAGAGTAATGTGGTGAGGAACAGTAGTTCTTGTTTCTGATACAATTTAGTTTTCTGCATTCATTAGTTTCCCAGGCATAGAAGAGAAGAAGAGCAACTCAGAGAAAAAGAGGAAGTAGGGGAAGATGGAAAGAAAGATGGGATTGGGAATGGGGCTGAACATGCTTCTCTTGCTGGCCATGGTGGCTACCAATATCCTCTCTCTGTACCACCTCACTTCATCCGTCCAGAGCAAACCCGCATCTCCTCCCCCAGTCCCAGACCACCTACATCACCAACTCAACACAATCAGAGCCACCATTAACCACCTCACCCGCCTCCGCTCAACCACTCCCACCACCGCCACCAGCGCAAAAGCCACTGTCCCTTCAGATCTCCTTCTCTATGCACATATAGCCCCCATTGCCTCTGCCTGCCGTGACAACCCTGATCTTCTTCACCGTTACATGAACTACACACCATTCTCTCTCTGTCCAGATGATACGGATCTCTCCGAAGCCCTAATACTCCGAGGTTGCCACCCCCTCCCCCGTCGCCGCTGCTTCTCTCGCACTTCTTCAAAAATCCCTTCCTCTCTCACCTCGAATCCCTTTCCTTCTTCTCTCCCTGACTATGCTTTACTTTGGTCCCACTATTCTTGCAAGAGTTTCGCTTGTCTTAACCGCTTCAATGACAACCTTGGCTTTGACATGAAACTTGAGTCCACTAAATTCCTTACAGCTAAATCTGATCTTGATCTTACCATTCCCCAATTACTGCAAATTGCAAAGGGCTCTTCTTCAGTTCTTCGACTTGCACTTGATATTGGAGCTGGAACTGGGACCTTTGCTGCAAGAATGAAGCTCCACAATGTCACTGTTCTATCCACAACCATGAATTTGGGTTCCCCATATAATGAAGCAACTGCACTGAGGGGGCTTGTTCCATTGCACATTCCATTGCAACAGCGGTTCCCAATATTTGATGGGGTTGTCGATCTTGTTCGCTGTGGGCATGCTGTTAACCGTTGGATTCCAATTACAACAATGGAATTCCTATTCTATGATGTAGATAGGGTGTTGAGGGGTGGGGGGTACTTCTGGTTAGATCATTTTTTCAGCAAAGGAACCGATCTTGAGAAGGTTTATGCACCATTGATCAGGAAGTTGGGTTACAAGAAAGTGAAGTGGGCAACAGGGAATAAAACAGATTCCAGTGGGCTGAAGAATGGAGATGTTTATTTGACTGCCCTCCTGCAGAAGCCTGTATCAAGGTGAGAGTCTAGGGTCCAGGTTCGTATGCTTTCTTTGATGATGATATCTATTTCGTTTGTATTTTAGCTTAAATTGCTGTTTTTCTTAAGAGGGATGGGAAGAAAATCTTCTACTTGAAATCATGTTTTATCATTTTATGACAAAAATTAATTGTTTTTATACTATTTGGGTTGAAGAGAAGATTAATGGTTTTATTTGCTTCTGGTGAAACATGATATTGGCATTACTTGGGTCATGTTTCAGTTTGCTTCTTTGAAACACTTTTTAATTTCACAAAACACTTCCAGGGAAATGTTAATAAGAATGCTTTGGCCAGATAAGGTGAAATCAGAAGTTCCTTTTGGGGAGAGTTGAACACTTGTAAACCCAAATATCTGGTTTGTTAACGTATAAAATATAGTTAGGTCAATCAACATAAAGCCCATTATGTTTTGGAATGTTACTGAAAATAGCACTACAGAGTAAGAATCAAGTTTCGTAAGATAATTAAAACTTTTGCCAAAACTCTCATGATATGGAGGATCCTGATTTGTCTTTCCATGCTTCAATCGATATGGCTTTAAATAGAATGAATTGGTGAAACAGGATTCATGTAGCCACCCTATAAAATTGGGATAAGGCATGGATGATGATGATGAATTCAGTGCTAGGATCTGTAAGAAGAAATCTTTTCCTTTCTTTTATTATTTAGGTGAACTTCTCTGTTGCCAGTTTGGACTATTTTAAGCTTCTTAGTCATCATTTGGCCTTCTTTATGGCCTTTTATGTAACAAAGGATACTCTAGCTGAAACCATAGTCATTTCTAGATGTTAGGAGCAGTATACTGAAAGGCTTGGGAGGCATCTGCTTGGAGGCATGCTTCCATGTGAGTGTTAACAAAACACCCAGAGAAATATATAAAAATAAGAGGCATGGAGACAAAAGAGGCATATACCTCTCATATAGAAGTGCATAGAAAACTAAAAAGGTGTAAACCTCATGTAAGGTGTGCTTCTACTGGTCCTCTATTTTAGAGATGCACACTTCATATGTGTCATCCTTAAGGTACTTGCTATTAAGAAACAACATAAAGGATGGGTCATGCTTAATGATCTGTTCTATATTTGAATGTGATGGTTCTATTATAAAAAAAATTGTACCTATTTTTTTCTAACTTTTCTTGATTTTCCTTTTTTTTTGGAAAACTTCCTATTTTTATTTATTTATTAATTTAAATTATATGCTCTAGAGGCTTTCACCTCTTGCATCCTGGTTTATGCCTCATTCCTCGGGATGGTGGAATGCCTTGCATTACGCCTCTGCATTTTTTTTTTTCACTTACAAACACCTCTACATTTTTAAACATCTGTTAGGAGCACAGACATGCATAAGTTTTTGGCTTTCATTAATTTTGACATTCTAATGAATGCTTTTGCTTTATTATGTCAATTCTTAAAATCTGGCATGTTTTGACATTATATACTAGAGGCTTTGAGCAACTGTTTTTAAGTTGGTTTCCTAATATTGCAGGTGAAATTCATTAGCAGTGGAAAATGGGAATATCATCTACTATCAATGGAACTCCTTATATCCGTTTCTGCTCTTTTTAAAATGAAAGGCTAAAAGGGTAGATGTTGAGCACATTTTAAACTTGGATACATTTGCTACACAAGTCGGGTAATACCAAGCCACCATTCTTTGTTACTCCTGAGAACAACACTAGTTTGGGCTATCCAAGACTAGCCCTTTCAGGAGTCAGGACAAGTCTCAGGGTAAATGATAAGCTCCCTTTATTTCTTCAATGTATTGTACAAGGCTTTGTTTGTTGAAAATTTATTTAATCCAAGAGACCAGGCTTATGTGTCTTGATTACAACTTGTATTGAGAACTGCTGCCTATTATGTTTCAGAAAAAAGAAAGAAAAAAGGATATCTAATATTAACTGCAAAAGGGACAGAAGCTCTAAGGAAAAAGGTTCTTGTTGTTGGGGTTCACCTACAAGTAATTGGAGAGAATCCCACATTGGAAAAGAATGAGAGGTAGGTGTAAGGGACTTGTATACAAGAGTGGCACATAACCGAATAGCTTAAGTTTTTGGATTATATGTGGCGTCCCTCCCTTGTGTGCAAGTCCTACGCGCATGTACATGTATGAGCCCCGGTTTTGATGACTCCCCTCGAATGCTTACCACTTTTGGAGTCTAGAAAGCGTGGAGGAGCTGGTAGCCAGGCACCTGAAACACCATTGAATAGAACCACCACCACCACCACCAAATATCTGGTTTAATATTCAGAAGATAGAAATTGAGAGGCATGAGAACTGCATGGTACCAGTGAGCTCAAGTCCTTTGTGACCTGGTTCACCGGGCATTACCAAGGTTCAAATATAGGTTTCATCAAGAGAGTATCAGAATTCACAAAACCAATTTTAAGATATGAACCGGAAAGATATATTTGGGGGATTCATATAAATCCAACAAATGTACTCATAATATTAAATCTAAAATTAAAATGACTATAAATAAAATTTAGACATATAACAAAAACATATTTTACTAGTTTATGTGAAGTCTCTTCTCTATTGAATAGGAGTTGATATGTCAGAAGATATAGGCTATCTGCTCCCTAAGAACAATCCTCAGGAAGCAAAAGTTGCAATATTATTGCAAGCAGTTAGATTTATATGTGGAATGGAACTGATTAGATGGTTGGGATATTTGGATTCAAAAACTGACAATTTCTTGGAAATATAGGTTGTAATTAGTAAAATTCTTCTTTTCTAGAGAATCGCATGGGATTCAAGGCATACGCCTTGAGGCGTAGCAAGGTGTAAATCAGAAGAATTAAAAATAATAATAATAATTGAAGTTTATAAATAATAAAAGGAACATATGACAAACAAAATATAAGCATCCATAAAATAGAAGTCTGTAAGTAATAAATTCCAGCCTTTGACGTTCAACAAAATAATAACTAATCAAGTAACAACCATAAACCTATTTATATTTCCAGTTTCAAAATTCAAATTTTCTCAAAGCCTTTTACATTCAACAAAATAATGACTAATCAAATAACAACAATAAACCTTTTTATATTTCAAGTTTCGAAGTTCAAATTTTCTCAAATTGTTCAAATGAACAATCATATGTTTTAAATTATCAAAAATTCTCCATCAAAGTTTCTTTTACTGATGAGATCTTCTAATGAATTGTCCGTGTGATTGATACTAGATTCTAGTTACCCAACAAAGGAAACAACTTGGTTTAATCTATGCAAAAAAAAAAGGCTAATAAAAATAAAAGGAATCCATTAGGAAGAGAATTGAGAGGGAAAAATTAGATAGATAGTATTTTCTTATGGAGAAGATAGGAAAAAAAAATGGAATGACAAGCTTAGGATGCTGTATTTCTAGTCAGGCAGAAGTGTTGAATAAAAAGAAAAAAATTCCACCTGATTTGACCAAGAATAAAAGAAGAGAACGATAACGGTTCTTTATAGCCCTTGATGCGTTGAACTCTTATAAAACCCCAAGAAAAGCTAAAAACTCTATTTTCTCTAGTAGCTTTTCATTTCAATCTTCTTATTCAGCGCTCAATTACTAAATTGCCCTTCCCATATGTTTTAAACTAAAAAAATAAAATAAAACAATCTTCTTTGCACTAAAGAATCCAATTGTTGTAGGCTCTTTAGGCTCACACCTTTCTACACTTCTCGCCCTGAGGGTTGAGGATACGCCTCTTTGACAAAAGCTTAAAAGCTGAACCTGGATTCCCTACCCACAATACACCGCAGCTGTAGATCTCACAGTACAGGATCACAATGTGTAGCTGCAATGCATTGTGGGTAGAAAGTTGCGGACAAGAAATCTAGTTTCGCTTAAACCTCAGACCATGGTTATAATGCTTAAAGCCTTTGAGGCAAAAATATGAGCGCTTCACCTCAAAGTGTAAGCCTCGCACCTCAAGACTTAAGCCTTTCAAAATCATGGTTACAACAAGGCCCCTAGGTCAGTGCTATCAAAGAAACCAGAGACTCAAGGAGTGCCTCACTACACTAACCCGCAACATATTTAAAATAAGATACCCTCCATTTAGTACCCTGTCAATTCATTTGTTTTGAATGTCTTGGGATCCATCTACTTCCAAGGTATTGACTATTGAGGCAAACTTTTCAGAGAAAGTAACAGGAAACGAACCACTACAGCTGAGTTTATAGCAAGTACACCATGGATAAAAATCTAAGCAAGCTTAATAGGATGGAAATGTTAATGTCATCTTAAAACAATCACCAATGCGAACTGTAGTTGTCAGGAAAGAAGCCACTGCTACAATCAAGTCTTTTGTTATTATAGAATGATGGATATCAACGTAACATAGAAAAATGATTAATTTACAATGGATGATTATTGCAAAAACTCCAATAAGAAGATAAAATAACAAATGGCTAATCCAAGAAATGGATTTCCTACATTTTGGCTGTCAAATATGAGAAATGGTTGTCATTGAGACAGAACCTTGTTTTTCATCTAAAATATTATATCAAGATGTTGGTGTTAAATGGCATTAATATACATTGAGTATGCTGTGCTCAGCTGATGATAACGTAATCTGCACCATCTGTAAGAAAATCTCCAGCCTTCGAGGGTAAACTGTTTCTAGGAACATTTTCCCGGACTTGTGCATGAGTCTCCGCCTCATGCTGAAACATCTTAACAAGCTCTTGGAGCTCCAACTTCCTCACTTCAACCTTTTCTTCTGCAATGGGCTCTTTCAATCCAAGGTAGAGTATTGCAGCTGAAATTAGGAGAATTCCTACCAGGACAAGTAAACCAGAGAACAAAGCAAATGCGTATGGTGTATGCTCAGCTCCAGGAATCCCATCTACATTGATCCCAAACAGCCCGGTAATGATGGATAGAACAAGACCACAACCACCAAAAACAGCCAAATTATGTGTTACACGGAGGCTTCTATCCTGGAAGTAGCATGTGCAAAACAAGGAATTCATGATACCAAACAGGTAAAAACAAGACAAGTGAAATGTGCATGGAAGGTCTCATTGTTGTGCATCTAATAACAATACAACATTCATTTGTGCATGCCCAAGTATATGGAATACAAATTTACATATAATTAATGCATAAATGCTTGGTATGAGGGTAAAATCTCAGGCTGACAAAATGAGAATGTGGATTCGAGTTTGAGAATTGGGTAATGAATTTTGCACCAGTTCTTGTCTTACCTGCAACCACGCCCGCACATTGCCCTGCATGACATCTTGAATAGTAAACAAACGGCCACGAACTGCTTCTTGCTCCTCAATCATTTCCCTTGTACTCTTTTTTATTCCCTCCAACAAACTTCTTGTTGCATTCCCCTTCAAATGTTGGAGTAGTTCATACACAATTTCTTCCCTTGCATGAAGTGACCATTTAACCCTAATTACCTGCCAATTGAAAAAAAGACAAAAATTGATGGTAAATTCATAATTAATTCAAGTCATATGCCAATACTTGGGACGTTCTCCATATATTTGTATTTGGGGAATCCAAAGTGTTGAGTTTTGGGCTGATATTACTTGTTTCTATTTACATAGCATAGTTAGGGAGTTATTGGGCCTTAGGCCCATTGGTTTATGCTTTAAGTTAAGTGTGCTTATTCAGTTCTTACATGTAGCCAACTTACTAGGGGCATATTTGTCTTTGTACCCTCTTTTATTGTGAGTATATAATCTAATGAAAGGGGTAGCCAGACCTAATTTTGGCTTCTCCCATTCTCTTCTCTCTCTCTTTTCTTTCTTTCTAAGCAGAAACCTTTTATTCTCTTTCTTTTCTTCTTTCTTTCACAGATTTTATATCAAAACAGGTCATCCAAACTTTTCTACTCCAAGAAAGTGATGCTATCAAAGGGCAATACAAACTTGGTTACCCTTTCAAATTTCCCAATCAGAGTACTAATCTTGGAGGTACAAAGGCCACATGTTGGTAAGAGTTTCTAGCGACAATTGATACAAGGATACAGAAGCATGGAACAGAGGTTCTGGGATGGTGCAAATGGTCTTAAGGAGAAGGGACCAGGATATCACTAGCTGTAAAGTTTGATCAAGTGACCCAAAGAGGGATGTTGAAGTCTATCTGTAGTTGTTAGATTGACACATAATCTGGTGTCTTTTGTATATTAATTTTAAACCATTCTCTATATTATTTAGTTATTTATTTATTTATTTATTTATTTATTATTGGTAACCCATTCTCTCTAATTGCAACATGTTCGTTGACTCCATGTCTGCACCCAGTTGATACCCATTAAAGTGGAATAATAAAGTATAAAATATAAACACATCTTAAGATCCTTCTTAACAGCAACCACTTGACTTGGTCTGCAGTGTTAAATATGGGTTACATTGACAATAATGGCTGACATTGAACAAAAACATAACCAATAATTAGAAGCTTCTCAGTCAAGCAAACACTAGAAAGGCAGAAGTAGCTGCAGTTTCTCAAGGTTTTCAGCTAGCTCAGAAATGTTGGTACGGTTCCATGGCAGTACAAAAATACCAGGAGAGAGATAAGACTGTTGACCAGGTATTTAATTATCAGATTTACCTGGATTCGCATATCAGCCAATGAATGGAGAAACAGGGAATTAGTAGAGGACAATTTCTTTGGGGTTAAGTAGGTACAAGTAATGTAATACAAATTGTATAATATAAAGGGACATAAAAGGAACACGCATGGGAAAAAACAGCTGGCCTAAGCTGTTGGATGCATGACATCTTCACATTATTATTCCTTCTTTATTCTAATCAATAAAGCATCAACAAACAATAAAAAGATAAAAAGTGCTGCCACCTCTAGTATTGTTACTTGGTCAGAAATATTATGCAAGCCTCTGATTAAGCAGGACCCTTCATTTCTATAGCAGAATTGCACCTCAAGCAATCTCAAAGATGCCACCTTCACCTTACTCTACTAGTCCAATTACTTTGTGTTTACTAATGGTCTAAATATATTTGAAGGTATGAGTAGAAGGCATGCCTTAATGGTTAAACCTTTCAATGACTCCTTAAATGCAGATTAATGATGACCTGCACCTTGAGGTAATTTGCTTGACTACATTCCATGACAAATATTTGTCATGAGCAAAGGTTCAATTATGAGATGTCTGACTTGCAGTCATGTCACTTGGAGAAGTGGAAACACTATGGCCTTTCTATGGCGGACCTGTTGGCTTTGCTTTCCTAACTCATAGACTAATAGTCTAATACTTAGGATGCAGAGGCATCATGGCCCTGCCACCCATGACACACTGTTGTCTTTGCCCTCCTGACTCTGAGATTAATACTTGCCCCTTCCTTCTTGGAAACACTGTTGCCTCTGCCTTCCTGTTTCAGGGCACCAAGGTCTAATAGACCCAAGACAAGGGGCATTGAGCAAAGGCTGACCAATCTGCCACATTGACACATAGGTTTGTTAAATGGCTTAGGAGCTTAAACATGGACTCTCATTCTTTTCATTTCTTTTCCTTTTCTTAAGGGAGAGGAGGTTCATGTGCGTCCAAAATCTTGCATCTACTACACTCTTTCATGTGGCAAGTTGTAGGGGTGATCAATCTTCCACAGTGCCACGTAGGTTTGTAGGTCCAAAATCTTGCACCTACAAATATATCAGACTAAAGACAAAGCATTATGCAACCGGTTTACCATTTATATGGATGATTATCAGACCAATTATATAATAAATAGAATATCAGATAAACCGAATTGACATGAGTCAGATTAAGAAACAAGACTTCAACAAATGGCTATGGCTTTCAAAGTTTACCACTTCAAGAAATTCTTTGAAGGTGTTCCTTGTTAGGGCACTAGAGAACCTTCAAATATGCTGTCTCCAAGGATGTCCGTAAGCACCACAAAGAACTTAGATCCAGGATAACTTGAAACACAAAAGAATTCTTCAGGCAACAAGGATGTGAAAGGTATGAATCCAAGCCAAGTGGTCAGTGCCAGGGGTGATCATGGGCTGAACCAGGCTTAGCACCTAGTAAGGGGCTTAATATAAATATGTATTACACTTAATATATTATATACAATTCCAGGGCCATGCTAGGAATGATCACCCCTAGTGACTGCTTAAAGTGACTACAACAAAAGTATCCTCCAGTCAACTATCAGAAAGGTAAAATGCTGTTGACTGTTTTATGATATTTGTGTCTTCGGTTATGCCCATTTAAACAACTAAATATTCCAGTCTATCAATAAGATGACAGTGACCCAAAAAGAATGGATGAAAATATACCTGTCTTGATAACCTTCTGATTTCTTGGTTCATAATTACGCTGAATAGATTCATATCTTCATGGTTCCTCCTATTCACAAGTACGAAGTACTTATTTTACAGGTAAACCACAAAAGATAACAGAATATGCAGAATAAAATTTCTTTAGTACAAAATAGCAGAATGAATATCATTACTTGTCCATAAACTTCAACTCAACTTCATCTGATGCTCCAAATATCAACTTACGGAATAACCTAAAAGAAACAAAAGAATCAAAGAAGAAAGGCATAACCATTTGATAGTGCTACAGTAGTAACACTAAATTTGTTGACGAAATCCAGTTTTCTTTTATTCAAAAAAACAAAATCTTGTCATCTAAAAGAAGCAATCCCTTCTATAGTTTAGGTCAGAAGAGGAGCATATTTGTCACCTATCATCCCATCGAGAAAGGCGACTAGCTAGATATGCAATGACTTCATGAATTGTTCTTGGCGTGTTAGTACCACCAGCAGAAAGAAGCTCCTGAGCCAAGGCACACCATCAAACTACAAAGTGAAAATTATAGCATATAGGAAATGCTAATGTGTATAAATAAGTCCTTACGTGAGAAGACAAATTTGAAAAGACTTTGCCAAGCATGAAACCTGAATTTCAGTGATACCCAACACGTTTATGTTTGATGCAGATCCTTTTACATGCAATGCAGTTATTAAAAAGTTCTGTGCTTGCCAAGATCGAAGAACAATGGGGATGTCATCAACATATGGATCACCTACCGAGTGCCCTAATAGCTCAAACAATAGACCACCTGCAACCCTAACTGGGATCTGATTTATAAACAATAATCATTAGTTCATTACTAATCAGTCCAACAAGACCAATCAATAACAGTCCAATACCAAAAGTTCTTGTAAATTACACATCTCAATACCAAAACAATACCTGTTTATTAATTGAATAAGAGAAAAGTAGCAGAGAAAAGAAGCATAAGATGGCATGAAAATAAAGATCAAAATAATGTAAAGGAGCAATGGTGTTGTCTGTAATTATTTTCATTTAATCCTGATACCTTTGCCATTCAAAGTCTAGTATCCATGCAAGGATGTGGGTGCCTAGGGAATTTTTTGACTGACAAATGTGACACCATTTAATTGGTGGCATACCCATAATATTAAAGATGTAATTTGCAACAATTATATCACTTGGAGTAATTGGCTGCCTGGCCCACTTTTACAACATCTTGGACTTCACTATAAAAAATCCAAAGCCGCTATAATGTAAACCGGCATTATATGGACATGGTGTACAAGAAATTTTAATCTCTCTTTATTTAAAATTTTTCATATAGATGTTATAATGGTACAGAATTATAGTGTCCTATAGTCAGCAGCCACATACAAGAAATAACTCAACCTGAGCAGACCTGGATTTTGATTAACTTTTAATTTCAATCCACCCAAAGTTGCACTCCCCCATAACTTGGAACATCCATGTTTCACATGTATATTCTTCAGTAATCCACCTACTGTTTAGGCTAGGAAATGACTCAGCTCAGCCTTAATCCCAACTATTTGGGGTCAGCTACATGAATCCTGTTGCACTATTGTGCTCTATCAAGAGTTGGTTTCTGTCAAAATTTAAGTCCAAAAATCATTTCTTGCCACTTCAGACTATGCTTTCTTTCATCTTCCCCTTTCTCTTTTAGAGCCTTCTACTTTCACTAAGTTAATCATTCTCATTGGTGTAGTCATTAGTCATCTACACAAAACCAAACCATTGCAGTTAACCTTCTCTCATCTTTTCACTAACTGGAGCTACTCTGAAGTCCTCTCTAATGTGCTCATTCTGATTGTGTCCTTTCTGTCATTGCCACTAATCCATCTCAATATCCTTATCTCGGCTAAACTCATTTTCTAAACATTTTCTTGCTTGATCACCCAGTAATCTGTCCCATATAGAAAAGCTGGTCTTATAATTGTGTTAAAAAGTTTTTCTTTTAGTCTTATTGGCATATGTTGGATGCATAGCATGCCAAATGCAACTCTTTACTCCTACCATCATGCTCTAATTCTATGGGCAACATCCTCATTAATTTCTCCTATTATAGATGAACTTTAATGATTCAGAATGAACCAACTCTTAAATCTCTATGGCTTCCCTGTGCAGCCACCCTACTGCTTCTCCAATCCCAACACTGGAGCTTTCTCTTATTGGTTTCTTTTTCTTATCATATTTCAAAATGTACTTCTATTTTCTTTACTTTGATACATTGGTTCAATAATTCCTAACAAGGGATAGATTGAGGAGGATGTTGCCCACAGAATTAGAGCAGGAAGGAAAAAATGGAGGGGTGCATCTGCATTCTTATGTCATAGGCGAATACCACTCAAATCAAAAGGAAAATTTTATAAAACAGTTGTAAGGCCAACAATGCTGCATGGAGCAGAGTATTGGGCAGGCAAAAAACAAAAATGCCCAAAAAACAAGTGTGGCAGAGATACATATACTGAGATGGATGAGTGGGGAAAAAAAAACTAGAAAGGAAAAGGTCAGAAATGAAGTGATTGGAAGGAAACTACGAATAGCTCCAATAGGTGGCAAAATGAGAAAAGGTAGATTAAGATGGCTTGATCACGTGCATAGAAGACCATCTACAGCACCTGTAAGAAGAAGTGATCTGTTGCAAGTTGAAGTGGCTAGAAGGGCTAGGGGCGGGCCAAAAAGGACATGGTTGAAGTAGTAAGAAATGATTTAAGCACTCATAATTTAACAATGGATATGCACTAAACAGAACATAATGGAAAAACAAGATTCATGTAGTCAACCCCATATAGTTGGGATACAGCTTAGATGATGATGATAATGAGTTTTAACAATGGATATGGCACTGAACATAACAGAATGGCAAAACAGGACCATATAGTTTGATGAGGTGCATCAAGGGATTTCCATATATTTCTCACCTGACTTTGGATTTGTCACACGTTCTATGCGCATTGTGATTATCATAAATGCTTTTGTGCCTTATCAGTTAAACATCTCTCTTATTTATTTATTTTTTTATCAATAACTATAAGCTTTCATTAAGATTAGGAAAATGGAATGGTACAAGGAGTAAATGTACATATAAAGACAGTGAGAGATAAAAGAGCTTATCTCTCCCCTTGACAGTACCCCTTTCTTACAATTGTGCCCAGAATAGATCTTGTCGTCCCACCCCTTGTTTGGCTAATGTATCTGCAAAGGAATTAGCACTATGCTTGCACCAACTGAAGGAAACTTCCATGTCCCTTGTTAAACATCTCTCTTATCCTTAGTTGTCAAGGCAACGCCTAGGCGACAAGGCACCCTTGGAGGCTCGCCTTGCCCAATCGCCAAGCAATTTTGTATACTGTCTTATAAAATACTTTTATATTGTTACTTTTTTGAGATTATAATTATAAAATAGACATTATTAAACAAAACTATTCATTTTTTGTGTTTATAAACTAATTTCTTTTTATTATTTTCTTATTTTTTAGGGTTTAATCTACACAAATATTGCTAACTGCTGTATTGAACCCCCAAAGACTTCAGAATCTGAACCAATAACTAAGGGAAAAACTTCTTCCATCTTTTCTTTTCTTCTTTTCCTATAACAAAAATAGGGGTTCAGTCCCCATGCTTTTTGAATTTTCGTTTCTTTCTTCTTTTTCTTCTCATAAATATGTTGATTTTCTAGACTGAAAATTATGGATAGTTATTAAGGAAAGATGGTTATGGAACCTAGGGAACTACCTAGGATATGTATTTTTTACTTAAAAAAATCCATCGCCTGGGCAACTAGGCGACAAGGCGCCCCCCCTGTTGCCTAGCCTTGCCTTGGCACCTTGAAAACTATGCTCTTATCTTGTTGAGTGCAAGAATAACACTCAAACCAGTATTTGATGAACATGAAGCATCTGCACTTGCAGTTGAAAAATAAGATTCTAGAAGCAATCTCTGCTTCTTATAACGTAGCAGGAACATTGATATTACTACAATAATTACATGGTTCTTCTCAATGTTCAGAGAACCAAACTGGGCATAGAACCGGAAAAGGGAGAGGTTTACGGGTCAGAGGTTCGACTGAGGTCGAACTGGAGGTTGAACCGTGACGACATGGCATATACATATATATACTACGAGTCATATAAATACTATATATAATACATTTTACAACTTTTAATATATTTAAATATGGTGGATGGATGGTAAGCTTCCTAATTTTTAAAACAAATGACTAGGGTTCAAGCCTTTTAATTTACATTTACTTTAAAATACGTACATAATAATGTAATGTGTATAATAGTCATTAATTAATATAAGTAAAGAGGTGGTTTAGTGGTAATTAATTAATCTATGAAAATAAGAGGTCTTGGGTTCAAATCTTGTTAACAACATTTTAAAATTTCATTTATGTATGGACTCGGGCGGATTCATGAAACCAGGACTGGTTCACCGGTTTTCCGGTTAAACCGGCCAGTTGGCCGGTTTTCACCAGGTTTTGAACAATTCCGGTTATTGGGGTGCAGCCAAACCGGTTAGTGCCCCAGGTCACAATTCGACCGGCCGGTCCGTTTTTCTAAAAACTGGTTCTTATAATACTCTTTTTTTTTGGTAAATATCATTATCATCGGGGCTTAATACTATTACTTACTGACAGCGTTATTCTTTTTACACAACAGGAATGCATTTGGAAACAAGGGTAAGGACAAAAGGGCATTTGGACTTCTCTCTCAACAATCCTTTTTTGTTCAAGGTCATAATAATCATCTAAGCCTTGTCCCAACTATATGGGGTTGGCTACATGAATCCTGTCCAGCATTCCATTCTGTTTAGTGCCATATCCATGGTTAAATTGCAGGTGCCTAAATGGTTTCTTATTACTTCCACCCAAGTCCTTTTCTGCCTACCCCTAACTCTTCTAGTCCCTTCAACTTGTAATAGGCCACTCTTTCTAACAGGTTCTGTAGGTGTTCAAGGTCTGCAATCTAATTGTGGCAGTTGATTAACTTTTACAATCTACAAAATGCTGATTGAATATTGAATGGTCATTCATACACAAATTATTTGTTGGTATTCTGATAAAGCATTATTTATGATGAATGTTCAGGTTAAAGGAAGAAAGATAAGTCAATACTCAATAGATAGGGATTATTGAAGTGGATAGTAGCTTATCTTGGGAGAAAGACAATGCCAGCCCTTTCCATTATTTTCTTTACAGTATGCTTCATATCCCACTCCCCATCATCAGAATGTGTTAATGAATTAAGTGACAAAATTTTCAGCTCCAATTTCTTTTTCTTGATAACATTTTGAGCTCTAATTATGCTCCAAAACCAATATGCCTGAACAGATGGTGCAAGTTGCAAGGTTCTCAGGTGGACTCTAAAATATCAAGAGGGTTGATATGACTATATATGATGAATAAGGTTACTATAATTCCAAATTTTATTAACTGCACCACTGGTGTTGGTACTAAAGCTAAACAAAATTTTCTTTTCTTTAGGAATGCTTACATTTAATTTAATAGTGTTTCATTCATCTATTTTTTGTTGTTTCATTGTAAATTTTCACACCGAAGTAAATGTATAATGCTGGTAGGAGATAAATGCTAATAAATAAACAGTTATAAGCCATGATGTAAATTTCATGTTGACATCTTATACTCTTATATACTAGTAACGGTTATCTGTAAACAAGAACAGGAAATGCATGCAGGACACCAAGATTGAACATGCAGTGGAAGATCTTCTGGATTAAAAATGAAATAGATCAATTATCAGAACCATATAATTTATTCATGATTCATGGCATACGTGGTTGAAATGCCTAAGTGAAAACTTACAGACCAGATGATTTTAGCCTAAGAAATTGCAAATGTGAACTATGAGCCCCAACAATTGGCACATTGATGGCCATCCCCATCTTAGTCAGTTTCATTATATGCCATCTACTACATTCTTTATAGTAACATTCATAAAAACAAATCCTATCAAACTGAAAAGTTCAGATTTCAAAGGTTAAATAAGAATTCACCTCATACAGAAGGTGCTTCATTCTGTCACTAATCAGCTGACTTTCGTCTCTCAAAGCAATACTGATGGCAGGATGTAACCACTGAGCATTACGCAGCCATGCATCAATGGCTGGGTGACCTGCTGTCACATGACACCACCATGTGGGCCCTGCTGGCCGTTCCCAGTAAGGAGCTGCTAAATCTGCAACAGTGAGATCATCCTTGTCCTCTGGGAACTCAATCTGCTGTGAGGCCCAGCCTGCATCAATTTGCACTGTTTGGACAAGCTGAGAAATCCTGGCCCATCCAATTGGTATCCAGTGACTTCCTACAATTTTTTCCATGGTAGGAAAATGGCCTGAATGGTTATCCTGGCAAACTTTGGGATCATCCAAAGGAATGCTACCACTAGCTCCAAATCCGGAAATGGAACCAGAGTCTAGTGAGTTGTTCCTGTTTACATTTTGTGCTTCAGTAAATGCACATCTAGGTGACAAAGGCCTTTCTGGATCTTCCCCATCTATTTTTTCTGCTGATTGGATCTTTGGGACAGATTTTAACCTAATTGTCTTCCTTTGGCCTCTAACAAATTCAAAAGCGCAAATAAGTCCATCTGTCCAAAGATCACTCCCAGGTAGTAAATCTCTAGTATAACTTTTATGGTTCTCTTGCTTCTTCATTTTGTTGCCCAGGGAGGCTGAGTGATCATAGCCCATGCCACTCATGTTGGATTCCATCTACTGAAAGCAACCAAAAGCATCAGTAAATAGTTTCCTCAATTTTCATTCAAAAGGAAACTTGAGAGTATGAAAATTATATTCCTCTATTAAAAGTAACAATATTAAAAGGACCTGGAAGAAACTCGCTATGAAAATCTATTTTCTTAAAATCTTAGTTAGTAATCCTGGAACACATTTCAAGATCCATAGAGAAGGTGAACTAGGTTCTGTTGCTCACTTTGCCTTACAATAGACAAGTGCAGTATTTCCATCTAATTTCCATGGTGCAAATGCCCAGAAGTTCATAAACAGAAATAAACCTTAGATGTAGAATTGAGTTTTATGGAAAACTTGGCACCCCATATTCATGCTGCAAACACCCCATAAATTCCTAAAAAGAAATCAACTTTGGCTTCACCTTACAAAAAGAAATTACCGGGTGCATTCACTAGAAAACAATTTATTTTTATTTAAGTGATTCTTCAATTCCTTGGCTCCTTGCCTATCCTCTTGTCCCAGTTTTGCAGTTTTCTTTCTAACTACATCTCATAGATATGCACACTTAAGGTCATAACTATAAGTTTAAAAGGAAAAGAGAAAAAGTGACTACTTCTACATCAGGCAAGTGTGGTTTGTAAAAACTTACAATAAAGTTAAGGTCATAACCATCAATAAAGTGTGGTTTGTAAAAACTTAAGGTCATAACTATCAATAAAGTTTAAAAGGAAAAGAGAATAAGTGACTACTTCTACATCAGGCAAGTGTGGTTTGTAAAAACTTACATATTTAATACTTGTTTAAGTGAAACTTGGGATAACAAACATCAATTAAAATCTATGAGGATTTGTCACCTCATGTTAATAATGGTTGCCTAGAAATTTCCTAAAAGGAAATCAATTTCAGTTTCACCTCACAAAATTACTGAGCATATTCAGCTAGAAAACAATTCGTTTTCATTTTAGTGATTCCTCACTATACTGCCTATCCTTTTTTCCTACTTTTGCAGTTTTGGTTCTAACTACATGTCATAGACATTAAGGATGCAACTTGAGCGGGCTCAGGTTGGGCTTTTGTCAAATTTTGAATGGGCCCAGTCTGAAGGCCCAAGCCCAAAGCAGTGTAAAATGCTAGCTCGGGCCAACCCAAGTTGACCCCTAATAGACATGCATGCATAAGGTTATCTCTAAAAAAAGTTTAAAATGAGAAAAAAAAAGGAAAATTGACTATTTCTACAACAGGGAAGTTTGGTTCAAAACCACTTAAGGATTTGAGTGAAACTTGGGATGCACTCTAAATAAACAACCATCAATTAAAATCTATGAAGATTTGTACCATTTACTTTCTATTTCCCTTCACTCTAGAATCCAAACTCTACATCTACCCCTGGGCCGCACTAACAGATCATCAGTTACCCATTATAGCGTTTTCAGGTATCATCAAAATCCCTGAAAAGACAGATTTCTTGTAATTATTAGTACCGCCCTTGCCATTCATAACAGCTTGCAAGTAACGGTGTAGTATATTAGATTCTGTCACTTGGAGAAATATTATAAATTTTTTATAGCTGAGTTTCAATATAAGATAAACTTTGGACAAGAAAGAGACCTCAACGCACTAAAAACAGGTACATATCCGGATTCCAGTGTCAAAGATGCTGTGGGTATTATTTTGGGTTATTCCAAAACAAATATGTGTCCACTAAATGAACGGAAGAGACCACTGATCTTCTCAGACATGTTTATGGTGGGTAGAATCCACCAAGGATGTCAAACCTCATGTTCGTCATACTTCTAATGGCATTTCTGCAAAATTCTGTTAATCACTTGGAAAAAAAGAAGAAGGAAAACAAAATTAGTAATGGTCCAAATAAAAGGTACAGGCTCTGCTTTTAAGAGAAATACTGAATGTAAAAATAACTGACAGGAAAATACACCACCAGCCACTACTGAAGCATCACCTCCAACTCCACAAGCTAGCAGAGATTTCCATCAATCGTGGAACTTGCTGGGGTTTTTCCTCCAAGCCGTATCCGAACACCCAGAGCAAAGAAACCCACTTATATAAAAGCAACCTGACTATAAGTACAACCAGAAAGCCAATTCAGTAAATGAAAATATCATAGAAGAAAAACATAAATTGAATATGAATTCATACTCTAATCATATCCATACCACAATAAGATGACGAGCAGAGGAGTAATTTACAACAAAACAGAAAGAATAAGTGAACAAAGAGACAGGATTAGATTAAGTAAGGAGAGAAGAAGTTACCTGTGAAAGATAGAAAGCGAATGATTGTTTTCCATCGAATTGGCTGGAGAAAGACCAGTCACAAGACTCATAACCACTTACTTCCAGTGCTGGAATCAATTCTCATCTGGAAGGTTTCTCAAAAGAGAGAACTACAATTTTCCGCTTCATTATGAGGCTCATATCGCTATACTGTCTAAAATTTAAGAAATTGTTTGTGAGTGCCTCATTTTTCACTTATTACAGGCAAGAACAAGATGCTCACCAGTCGGGCGGGTTAGGCCCGATTTATGATAAACCCTGGCCCGACCCTAAAATTTGAGTTTAAGGGATAGGTAAATATGTATATATAACCCAACTTATTAGGCCTGGGCCCAACTTGAAGATCGAAAATCCAACTTAACTTTTGTAAAATTTCGGTCTGGGTCAGTTCAGATTCAGACTCAAGCTGGGCCCACCCAAATTACACCCCTAACCAACAAATAAACTAAATGACCGCTAAAAATAATCTCAAGAAGAAATAAACAACTGCTTACAATTAACCATAAATGTAAACAATGGAAATAAAATAATTGCAACAATGTAAATGTAAAGTAATTAGTGGATGCATGAGATTTTACTACCCACGTCATTTTGTATCTGTCTTTAGTCTAGTCTGTGTTGTTTTTTCCCCTCTACCCAAAAAATAATAATAATAATAATAAAGAATAGTATAGTTGGTAAATGTTAGTGAACAACAAAGAACAATAAATTCTGAAATTAAATGTTAATGCAATTAATGGAATGCTAATAAAGTTAGTAGCTCAATAACTAGGGCAAGATTATTTTTATCTTGTAGTTTAAATAGTTAGAAAAATGTTAGTAACAGTTAGAAGAGAATTATTGCACAAAATTGAAAGTAAAGCAAGAACTAAGAAACAAGAAAAGATGCACACACGATTTTTATAGAGGTTATGTAAACCTTGCCTACATCCTCTACCTCAAACACCCTTTGAGGATTCCCATTAACTCAAAAGATACAAACACGATTTTTATAGAGGCTACGTAAATCTTGCCTGCATCCTCTACTTCAAATAAGGGTGTCAGTGGACCAGTTTTGGATTGGATCTCGTCTAGTCCAAAACCAATTTGGATGAATTAGATAGACCAACAAGACATATTGGATTGGACCTGGTCCATCCGTAACAAATTTATATTGGATTGGATTGGATTAAGCCAATATTTGGTCCATTGATATAAGATAAGAATATATCTGTCAATGGACCGAGTTTGGGTTGAAACCAATCTAAATCAAAATAAATTTGAACATATTGGACGGTCCAGACATTGAATTGGACTAGTCCAAATTGGTCCAAAACATTCATTGGATTGGATTGGACCTGGCCCATTTATAATAGACTCACACTGGACCTAGATTGGATTGGACCGAATTCAGTCCAATTGACACCCCTAACCTCAAACATCCTTTGAGGATATCCACTAATTCAAAATTAGTTAAATTTCCATGTGCCAACAAAGTCTATACAACCAACAGGACTTCTAGGTACTTACAATACCTTGGATAGACTTCCTAATACTATCTCAACCTAACTTGGTAAAACTTACAAATGTCTACCCAACCTAGATTGGACTCTAGGTACCCATCAAACCTTCAATGGTATTCAACCCTAGAACACCCCCTACACTCAAACGATATTACAACAAAGCTTAGATACACTAAGACTCAAAGTCTTTCGATAAATACGTATAACAAGATAAAACACAAACAACTAAAATGCAAGAGATTAATAAACTAAGATCCTTAGCTTAGTGAAGAGGTTCACAATAGCTTTGTGAGACTATAAAAGTACTAGGGCTTATCAACTTCTCTCACACATTAAACTATTAAAACTCAAAAATCTATACTACTATTAAAAGAGTGAATGAGAATGTGGAACTTTTGTTTAAATAAAACACACCAATTTTTTAATTTGAATCCGTTGTAATTATAAGGACAGATATAATTTGAACAACCACTTTTCTCTTTATTTAAATCCCTTTCATTAAATAAGTATTATATTTAAGGAATTAACTCCCTAAATGAAATTGTTCTTCCATCCGAGTGGTGAGTAAGTAATTCAACCATCCAAGTCAAATGGGTGAATCCATGATATATATTTAAATAAAAAATTTTAAAATAGAAATAAATAAAAAATAGAAAAAAGGGCATATCTCTAATGCTTTATATTAATCATATTAAACAAAAATAAGTGTGATGAATAATAATTATTGTTACTGATGTTGGAATGAAATATAAATTTAAAACTAATTCAAAAATAAAAATTATTTTCGTGTTGGTGGGTCAATACTTTAACCTTTTGAGTTAACCAACCCTTGATGTCATAATTAAATAAAAATGTAAATAGATAACAAAATACAAAAACATTTATGTAATAATATAGAAATTTTGTAAAAAAACATTTTCACACTAATCTAATATTTTATATAAATCATATTAAAGAAAAATAAGTGTGATAAATAATAGTTGTTTTCATGGTGACAGGTTAGTAGCAATTCAACCTTTCGGGCCATATGTGCCAAGCCTTGATCCCCTAATTAAATAATAAAATTTAAGAAAAAGATAAAATACAAGATATGAAAAAAATACAGAAAAATTATAGAAACCATTTAGACACATCTCCTTTATTTTACATATTAAAAATTAAGCGCAATAAACAAGAATTGTTTTTTAACATTTTATTAATGATAGAAATAAAATACAAAATCTAAAACTAACCCAAAAGTGAAATTGTTTACGGACTTGATAGTAGATCAACAATTCAAACTTTTGGATCAAATTTGCCAACTTGTGAAGTCATAATTAAATAATAAAAATTTAGAAGATAAAAATATAAAAACATATAAATTATGTAGAAAACATTTGGACATATCTCTAATATTTTATATTAATCAACCATATTGAAGCAAAAATAAGTGTGACAAAAAAATACTTTTTTATTGATAATATTTACTATCGTCATTGTTATCATAAAAAGTTGCCACATGCAAAATTATTAGTGCCTTTAAAAAGAAAAAAAAAACTTTCTCTCAAAATGCTATACAATATATTAATGTTTTTGAACCGTCGTTAACCCAGACGGTCAGACCATTCAAATCGGAAACCGTTCAGGTGATCGGTTCCATTTTACCCCAAACCCGGTCTTTGGTCAAAATCATTGAATTAGTCAATGAACCGTTCAACTCGGAGAATGGTTTGTCGTTTATTACTTCTGACAAGTTTTGTCAGAACAAGAATGAAAAGAGAAGAATACCTCTCAGATCTGAGATCCACTGGAGAGAGATGTGTGAGACAGTAAAAGAGGTCTAAGAGATTTCACATTTAGAGATCTGGGAGAGCACTCTAGAATCTAGACAACAGATCTGCGAGAGAGAGAGAGAGAGAGAAAGAGAGAGAGAGAGAGAGAGAGATTTGAGACTGAGAAATCTCAAATCTACTTTCATCACCAATTTGCCACCACCGCCGCCGTTGTTGCCATTGTAGTTTGCCATCATCATTGCCGTCGCCATCACTATTGCCACTGTAAGTCATCATCGTCATTGTCATTGCAGCCTCCTCCTCCTCCTCCTCTTCTTCTTCTTCTTCTTCTTCTTCTTCTTCTTCTTCTTCTTCTTCTTCTAAACTCTTTCAGCTGACAGTTTTCTCAAATCTCTCTCATTCAAACCTTATTTTCTCTTATATAGTTATATTCATATGCATCTTACCCTAATATTTCAATCTAATGGGTAAGTTTTCAAATTGTTCGAACCGTTTAACCCAGACGGTCGAACCACTGACCCAAAAACCGATGGTCAGAACGGTTCCATTTCCGGGTCGGTTTTTAAAACCTTGCAATATATACAATATAAACTCTTGTGGATTTCAAGCTAAAGCCTCTTATTTATAAAGGATGGAGAGCAAGTGGCCATTGAGGACTTTTACCATTCATGGAAGTGATTCAAATTGTCCTTAGAAAGATAGAAGGCAAACTAAAAATAGAACTAGTGGTTATCCCTTCAAATGACCAAAAATCTAATAAAATAGTTGAGTATACTCAGTTGGTAATCACTTATCAAACATACGGATCAATCTTTTTTCTCCTTCAGTCGATTGATTCTTCCAATCAATTGACTAATATAAATTTTCAAACTCAACCTGTCAGAGGTAGTCAACTATGCATTTTTAAGTAGTCAACTACAACATAGTGTCAAGACATTTCATGCCACAACTATCAAGGGTAGTCAACTACTACTTGGTAGTGGAGTCGAATATCAAGGGTTGCCGAATACTTGCAACACAACATAGAAACCTTGGAAAATTTATCCAAAGGTTTAGGGATCCTTCCCTTGGCTTTCTAAAATATTTTTAAACATTTCAAAGGTAGTCAAATATGCATTTTTAGGTGGTCAACTACAACATAGTGTCAAGGCATTTCATGCCACAACTGTCAAGGGTAGGCAACCATACATGTTTGGATAGTCAACTACTACTTGGTAGTGGAGTCAAATATCAAGGGTTGTCGAATACTTGCAACACAACATAGAAACCTTGGAAAATTTATCCAAAGGTTTAGGGATCCTTCCCTTGGCTTTCTAAAGTGTTTTTAAACATTTCAAATCATGTTTTAAGTTTAAGAAATCCTAGGACGAAGCCTATTGTAGCAATTGGTCTCTAAGATTTATTTCACCAAGTCTAATCTTGTAGAGCATCTTTTATTGTGCATTTCAAGGAAATGACCACATCAAAACTGAAAAGATATGACACTTAGACCACGGACTTAATGCTTCTTTCTTCCTTGATGAATTGTTGTATTAAAGATGAGTGGAAATGGTGTTGATGAAGTTTGATTCATTTAGTTGAATGAAGTAATGCTTCTACTTCATGATGATGTACAAGCACTAAGGATTTTCAACACCCGCCTCAGCTCTTGTCAGATTGAGTATGGGTTCAACCCCTTGGGACCCCTAGCATTCACAATGTTACCCACTTCAATGAAACCCATTGTGAAAGTCAAAGAAATACTTAAGCACTATAAGGACATTTATGAGCAAGTCAAGTTGCAATTCAAGGCCTCCAACAAGGGTTCGGATGTAGT